TGGGTGGGTTCACCCTTACTATCTTCTTTCAGCATAATATCTCGGCATCGTTGGTGCTAAGCCAATCCATACCCAAGACGATATCGAAACCGTTTAACTCTATGGGTAATAGCTCTTCGTGGAATTCGTTTCCGTTTAGGTCGATGACGATGTTCCTAATACGATTACTAACAGATACGAATTTGCCACTGTCAACTTCTACAATTAGGGAATTATTAAGTTTTTCTACAGGTAATGCTAGTTTCCTACCAAATTTTCACGACACAAAAGAGTAGTTGGCTCCGGAATCAAATAGTATATTTGCAGGAAAACCATTTACAAGAAAGGTACCTGAAGCGACGTCTGCTGCCTCCTTCGCAGCCTCGAGCGTCATTTGGAAGGCTCTCGCCTTCGGCTTCAGTGGTATGTTGGGTCTTCCCGTCTCCTTCTTCGGGCAATCCTTTGAAATGTGACCATCCTCGTTGCACTCATAACAGACCTTCTTAGTGAACGTGCATTCGTTGGCATAGTGCCCAGACTTTCCACATTTGAAACAAGTGACCCCTCCGTCACACTTCCCAGAGTGATTTTTCTTGCACTTGTCACACCACTTCGCTTCTGATCCTCCTCCTCTCGAACCAGACTTCGAGAATCTACCCTTCTTACCGGACCTTGAGGATCCGTCAAATTTCCTTTTCTCTCCCGCTTCCGCTATCTCCAGACCCTTCTCTCGTATCTGGATCTCCACATTCTTAGTAGCCTAGATGGCGGCTTTCAAAGTGGTAGTTTGCTTGACCATTGGACCAAAGTCTGCTGGTAATCCGAGGGCAAATTTGTTAACCTTGGAGAGTTCAGTTGGGACAAGGTGAGGAACAAACTTCATTTTCTCAGTAAAGCTTGCAGCGTATTCAGTAACGCTCATTCTTCCCTTCTTCAAATTCTGGAATTCGTTGTTGATTTCTAGAAGATCCTGTTCAGAGCAGTATTGCATCTTTAACTGCACCAGAAAATCCTCCCATGACATCTTGCTTGCTTCACCTTTGGGAATTGAATAAGCTAGTAGCTTCCACTAGCTTAGTACTCCAGATTTCAACAGAGGAACTGCGAGAGCGGTCTTCTGCATGTTGCTACACTCGTAACTCTCAAAAATCGTCTCCATCTCAGAGATCCAGTTTATGACTTCCACCGGCATCGGGCTTCCGGATAGACTCGGTGGTTTGGATGCCATGAAATCCTTGTATTTGCATCCACGTCCGTCAGTTCCTCCATCCTGGTGGTTTTGCCTAACTATCGATGGGTTGGCTTGACCAATAGTCCCACTGTAGTTTCCTTCCTCAGTCTTCCCTTCGTTCAACTTGGGCTATTCGATCTGAATAGTCGCTTACTCTCGATTTTGCTGGAGCAAACGTCCAGTTTCCTGCATTTGACGATTCAACATCGCCTGGATCATCGCTTGCACTCTGGCCATCGTTATTGGCCCGACAGCGGCTTCCACAACCGGTATTTGCTCGATCACTGGGGGTTGGTTTCTGTTCCCATTTGCATTTACGTTTCCGCTACGGGTCCTTTCCATCTTGATTTATACATCGAATAAGGTGAATTTATATCTTTATTCAGGACTGATGTTCAAATCATCCTTATCTCTCCGAAACTTTTACATGCTAGTTCTAATATCGTAGTCGTACGTTTAGAATCCTAAACACATAAGGTTTCTAGATCCGGTCGGCAACAGACCATAGATCCAAACAATTAACAGCATATCATGGACAAAGCATTTAGCATATAAAAGCATTTTAGGCACAATTCCTAAAATAAGCTAGTGCTCACACCTTACAATCATCGCTTAGCATTCTAAGTTTAAGTCTAGAAATCCTACAAATTCCTAGTTCGCTTAAACTAATGCTCTAATACCAATTGTGACATCCCCAAAATCAGGGCCATAAAAGACCGATTTTGTTTATACTTTATTTCAAAATCAGAGTAATCCTTTAATAAAAGAGTTGCGGAATTTGTCCCAAAACAGTAATATGATAAAGATTTATCAAAAGCATTTCCTTAGAAATGTATTTCATTAAACGACTCGGGATGTCATGTTCGATACAGTACATAAGTATAAACAATACAATATAAGCCTTACTACATTATTTCATATCTACAAGCCTGTATTCATAATCCCTCATCCAAAACATCACATCTATGCTCATGCACCACTACCTGTAATACAAGAAACTGAGTAGGCCCGGCTTGGGAGCCTGGTGAGCACATAGGGTTTTCAACCCACAATAAATAAGTTTATTAATCTCATCAATCAAAAATAACCTGATTACTCATTCCCATTATCCTTACTTTACATCCCTAAACACCTATCATAAGGGACCTAGCCTAAGGATCATCATCGGGATGGACACCATTGCTAAGGGTGTTCCTCAGCAATAAATGTCCTAAAGGAAACCATGAGGGGGATGGAGTACACCGGTGAACACATCGTTCATAAACACCTACAGGTTGCGAGCCTACCAGCGTTCCACTGGACTGTCTAGAAGAGTTCGTGGTTATCATCTATACTCCGTTATATGGCTGGATCAACAACAACAACATCGAGGCCTCTCATCATTTTATCACACATCACCTATTACATCTACCCATGTTTTACCCCAACATTTTCGTAGATATAAAATACATATACATTTTAAATCATTGAAAACATGTATAAAAACGTTCATCCAGCATAGATAGCAAGTATTCAGATAATATGCACACATAGCACGTAATTTATATAAAATACTTCATATCTATGTGTAAACTGAAAGTAACTATGCACACACCTGAAAGGTGGTGACTCAGTACTCGGACAACACTTCGATACTCTCAAAACAATTTTCCTTCGATAAAACCTAGTATCAATTCCACTAGGGTTTAGTCTTACGTCAACCGTGACTAATTAATAGTCTAACTATTATTATTATTATATAAGCGTTAAATAACACTCAATATAACTCATAATAATAGCCCAAATAATTATTTGAAGGACCTAATAACATTCCTATAATTATTTGAAAGCTATATTAAAAATTGTGTAAGCATAGCTCACTTAAAACAGATTTTATAGAAAACTAGGCTTTATTTGGGGCAGCGTTTCGAAACCGAAAGACTCTTTTTCTCGGGACTCCGAGAGCCTCGGTGCTTCCTTAGGGTGCTAGGGGATCACCTAGGCTTAGGGGAGGGTTTGGAACATTAGAGAGAGAAATATTTTAGAGAGAGAATGAAAAATGGTGTGAAAAGTTCGGAAATCCTCACAGCTATTTATAGGGGTCGAGGTTCGGATTTACGCTGGGCGTACCCTCGGCGTACTCTCGGATAGGGTTGCCACCCCGGATCCAACTGTCTCGCATTTTTCGGAAGGATAAGGCCGGAGGGTACGCTGGGCGTACCGAACTCGGACACGGGGTGTAGGGCGAAGCGACGTGTCCTTCATCCGAAGCGAGCCGTGATCAGCAAGCGACGGTTAGGATTGAGCCAAGTCACCACCTCGCAACAGATTTCACAAACTCATACTCCGACTTCTAAAAATCATAACTTTCACATACGAGCTCTGTTTTCGAGGTTCTTTATATCCACACGAAGGTGGGAACGTACTCTACAACTTTCGTTTATACTCCGTCGGCTAATTTTGACTTTATTTTAAAAGTTATATTATTAGCAGGCTGGGACAGGATTGGTCCTTTAAAAATTCATGACTTCTTCATCCGACATCCATTTTCGCCCATCTTTTTCTCGTTACGATAATCTTAACGAGATCTTCGATTCTCATTTAGGTTGTGTCGGCTAAAAACCGCTCGATCTAATACTCGAATTTCGGGCTGTACACCGCTAATCCGAAACTTCGAAAAATCATAACTTCCTCATACAAAGTCAGATTTGGGCGTTCTTTTTATCGACACTCTTAGTTTAACATAAACTACGACTTTCGTTTATATCACTAAGGCTAAATCTTGATTTATCGTAAATTCACTATTTACGCTTCCCGGTATCGTGTCGGTTCCGTCGCAAAACTTTGACGGGTCATAACTTCTTCGTTATAACTCGGATTTCGGCGTTCTTTATATCCCCTTAATCCTTGTTTCGACTACTACAACTTTATATAAAGATATTGGGCTTATATTACACTTTAATTTTTGACGCTTATTTTTATTCTTTATTAATTATACATTTATAATTAAATAATAAGCACATAAATACACATAATTCACATAATACTCAAATATTTCATCTTTATTACTTCAAAAAGAGTTACAATAGTTGACCTAGATTATTACATCGTCTAAAATGCTTAGCCCTAAAACCCAGGAGTTACACCAAGCTAACTTGGCTGAGGCAGACAGAGGCAAGAAAGGGGGAAGAGGGTCGAAGAAAGCTACCAAGAAAGACGGTGCTAAAGAAGGACCTTCAGAGGGTGTTAAAACTGCCATCGAAAAAGCGAAAGGCTCCTGTTGCGTTTACCGCTGCACCAAAGAGAAGAAACCAACCTACTAAAAGGAGAAAATCTCCCACTCCTTCTCCATCCCAGAGTAAAGGCGAACGTTCTGAATCCGATTTCGAGTCGGAGATTTGCATTGAGGAGAATCGGCCCATTCGCACTAAAGATCAAGGGTTAGTTCGTAATGAGGAAGACGAACATGTTCACAACGAACTACCTGTTCGCACTGAAGTTCCACACCAAAATCGTGAGGTAACTCAACCACTCAATGAGTCTATTCCTTCTCCTCCCTCACCAAAAACAACCACCTCTACACCAATTACGATTGCATCTTGTCCTCCACCTGTTTAATCTCAACCACCAACATTTATTCCAATTTCAATTCCTATCTTTACAGAATCCACCATTCCACCCCAAGCATCTACTGCACCTATAAGTTCAGTCAACGTATATGATACGGGGGTTAACACTTCAAGTTTTTCAAGCCATGTTACTCCTCCCATCTCTCCCATTCGCACCGATGAACCAGACATGATTTTCAGAGATGATGAAGATGATGGGTGGATTCACTTATAGTCCTTTTCAAATCTGGATTGATAGTGATGATGAAGCCTATACTACGAAAGGGGAACTCAACTATCTTCACGAGAAGATCGACCAGTTGATTCTTGCATCCAAGCCTTCTTCTTATGAGGCTTACTCCAAAGTATTTGTTGAGTCCATTCTTGAGTGGGTCACAAAGGAACATGTGGCTAACACCTCTACCATGACCAAGGCAGTTTCTGACTCTGCTGATGTCTATAAATCCACGACTGAAAAAGCTGATAAACTAATTGCTTACACCATAGAGTTTATGGAAGATTACAAGACTACCTACAACTATAACATCTTTGATGTGAACAAGGCCATTCAGAATGTGGGTGCCGTGTTTAAAGCAGAAATAGCGAACTTTGTTGAACTTCGCCAGGGGTTTCAGTCTGATAATCAAGCATTCCAATCTTCCATTGATGCAAAGATCTCAAAGCTTTAGGAGGAACTGCCGATGGAGATCAAAATAATGGATGCTATTGCCATCAAAGAAGAAAAATGTAAAGTGTTGGAAACAAAGCTTCGCTACACTGAGAAGCATGTCGATGATTTGCTATCGGAGAAGGCTGTCACTAGAAGTTGTATTTCCAACATTATTGGATTGCTCTCTGATATCATTGAGACTCGTGATCCCATGATCTCCATCATTGTAAAGAAGCATCTGGATAAGAAGTTGTGCCCGGTGTTCGCTATGTTACACCGTTTGGAAGGTGTTATGAAACTAGTGGCATTTTCGCAACAAGGGGAGAAGGTGGCTCCAAAGTTCAATTGGATGAACCCCCCAAAGCTCCAGCCAACCCTCCTATCATCAAGAAAGAACCCAAGTGTAAAGAAAAGTTATTTTACGATGAACCTATTATCGGTGATGAAGGAGACGAAGAGCCTAATGAAGTTGAGCTTAATAGGCGGAAGGATCGCTAGGCAGAGTTGGACGAAAATGCTCGCATTGTCAGAGAGGAAGAGGAAAAAGAAAAGGCTGATAAAGAATTTTAGGCCACACTCAAAAGCCAAATGATGCTATTCCCCAAGTGGACTCTGAAGCGGATTCAGAATGAGGTTGTGGATATGTCGAGCCAATGTTGGTTGGATCCAGTTGCATCCTTTGAAGTTCAAAATTCTCAGGATTCACAGTTGGACCTTCCACTTACTCCATTGGCCTTCAGGTTTCGTGCCTTCATGAAGGTTGTTGATGTGCCTCTCACAGATAGCAGCGCTGATAAGATGTTGTTTGACTTTTAATTAAAGCACATGAAGCCTCAACATGAGACTTGGAGCATTCACAAGATTGTTGATGTGAAAGTCACTGGACCGATCGAGACCGAAAGCTTTCCTAATGTGAAGTTTAAAGTTACGAGAGGATCAGCATGTTAAGCCTACGAATTGACACTCGTATACCTGCCCTGCCTGAACCCCCATGACTGGATAGTGCTATACAACATGTTGCTAAAAGAAAAGGAGAAGTACGAACCTATGATGGTCCATCTCCAACTAATGATCAAATCATACATCCAGGAGGTTGGAACGATGGATGTGGATATTGCTACAGTTTTGAGGACGAAACCAAATGTTGTTCCTAAGGAAGCCCCGAATAACTTCGAGAAGCTCAAACTAGGAAAAATTTACAATGAAAGAAGGTTTGTTGTGTACATGTCTAGAGATCGTCTAGGAGCAGAACGCCAGAAGGTATATTTTCATTTTTAAGACAAACACTTGTATATTACTACTTGTCTGGAGTTTATTTTAGAGCTGGTTACGAAGTTCAAGGGCAACCACAAGGATAACTTGAAATGTTTCTCTGATATGATCACGTGGTATATCCAGGTTCGCAAGCTGCTGCTGAGCTTCATTCCAAAGATCTACGAAGTGCAGAAGCAAATCAATAACTAATGGACTATGATCTCAATTGACGCAAAGGGAGAGAATGTTGAAGATAAAGTGTCGCGTCATTGGGCCTGTTTTGTTTAGTCCATTTTTTACAAACGAGTTGGGCCTGTCCATTTGTATTTATTGTTAGGGTTATAGTATAAAAGATGCATGCATGCTACATATTTTAGTTAAGTTTTGGATATTATCTTTTGTAACCCTATTTTGCACCTCTACATAAGCAATTCTTTGTAGAGTTCTTCCGAGGCGTGACTGTTAATCATTCAGCATCAGTTTGATCATATCGTGTTCTTGTTTACCTGTTTTAATCTATTCGATCTTTAAGGATTCCATCCTAACAGAGGGAATTAATCTCAACCATATATTTATTTTGCCGCAAAACACTTAGGTGTACCAACAAAAATGGACAGGGGATACACATGTGTTTTCCAACCAAACATGTTTCCTTAAATGATGCAAATTGTTACCTTAATATACAGAAAAATATATTTTTTTTATAATTTTTAAGAAGCTATTTTTATCAAAAAGTTATTTTAAAAATATTAAAATTCATAATTTTTTATTTTCTATAA